GAGCAATTTGAAAAATTTGAAATTGAATGTAATTCACTACTGACAGTTAGGTTACCATTATTAAATACTAGATTTTTTGGATGAATTGATGATATTATTAAGCAATTTTTAACACCTATTATGCTGAAAAGTAATGATTACAGATAAATCAGTCAATATGTTATGATGTTAATCACATTATAGAGTAGAAACAGTTAGTAATGATAAGTTCTGTTTACTTCTATTAAAAACTGTGTTACAATTAGTATTTTATGTTTGAGTATATATGTATGTATGTATGTACATACTTACTTATTGTGTAGTACTAATTATCATTGTTTTCCAGTATGGCATCAATATTAAGTATTAGTATTAACACTTATTGAGTTATAGACTGATGATAGTGAAGAGGTTATTTGGAGGCCTTGAGAACAGAAACAAGATATTCAGCAAGTTCTTTTAAATTCATTAATCAGAAACATTACTCAAGCAATTGTGGAAGTATGAAAAGTTTATGCAACTGGAACAGCAAGCAATAAACATTATATTATATTATTAAATGATAGTACACATCTATGTACCTGTCTTTTGCTAATAAACAAAGGCCTAATATGTTGTTATTTTTTTCAGGTTGCAACTTATTTCCACTCTGCTACTTTTCATATAACACTAATTCCATCTTGCTAGTATTTAGAGCCTAACATAGACCAAAAAATACTTCTACAACAAATGCCAGCTATTATAATTTGTAATGTGTCTAAACTGGAAGATTTGCCTGTTAGCAACTTTACATTCGAGTATTTATTTTCTACCCGGTCTATACAATGCAATTTTCAAGCAACTAAAACAAACAAAACTATATATGCTGAGTTGTTTGGATTATCAAAAAAAGTTATTGATTCAGCTATTCAAGCAAATGCATCTCAGAAATTATTTAATACCTTAAAGTCACTACTCTATGACATGCAAAATCAGATCAATAAAAATCAATCAATTGATTATAGTCATACTAATACTATTAATAACCCAACCATTGTTAAACATAAAGGCTGACCATTAAAAAGATTAAAGTTTAGTATTGAATTCTCATCTTCCAAAGGTAAACAAATATTGAGAAATAGTATAGCAAATAACAATGAAAATACAAACATGATTAAGAATAGTAGTAATAGTAGTAAGAGTATTACAAAAGGTCATATATGTAGAAAGTGTAAACAATTTGGCCATTATGCAAAAACTTGTCAGGAATCAGTCTGTTATTTTATTATTATGATTTTACTTGATGTTTCAACTGTAGATCAAATTATTGATATTTTATTATGATTCTATCTGATGTTTTATTTGTAGATTGAATGTTTGTAATTTACTGCTTTTACTTATCACATATTAGAGTTTCTTTCTATGTATCTTTCTGTTTTCTAATAATTTGTTTTATTGAATCTTGAAAACAATATGTCTGCATTTATAAGATAGAAGCACTTCTTTGCTTTTTAAGATTGAATTACCTAATGTTCTTGTTATTGATTAGTATATATAATTCTACTAACTCTTATTGTAAAAGACTTCTAAAGCAAAGGTGTGATGACCTAGTGAAGTGGATAGGTTGTCAACTCCCAAGTGGCAGGTTTAGAGTTCAAATCCTAGTGATGGTGAAAATTTGCGATTCTTTCTGTGTTATGGCTAACTGTCTTCTGTGATTGGTTGGGATAAGATACCTGTAACCTGTGTCATATCAGCATGACTGGAAGGTTTAGGCACTCATACAACATTGTATGAGGGAACACAAACTGGTACTGGGTAGTGTAAACCCAAGATAAGTTCTTAGGCCGTATAAATCAAGAGAACCAGGTAGGAAGATAGAAGTCCACTTGGAAGACCTGAGTAGAGAGGTAACTCAAACTAATACATAAATGCCTGAAATTC